CCGCGGTATGGATACTTTGGGCACTGCTACATGGATTCTTGTATGCCGCGCATGGACCGCTTGGATGCCGCAGCTTGGGCTCATGAGACACTGTGGCATGATTTTGGATGCCGCGGCATGTAACAGTGTGTTAGACTTAGGGTGGGTTGCATTTGGCACCACCTGTGTATTTTGTTATGATTTTGACTTTATGATATGTGTGCGTGCACATTTGTAGCACCGATGTTTGTGCTGTAGCCTCTACTAACCCCTTTTTACTCCTTTATGGGGGGGGGGGCTACTGGACTTTTGACCGTGTTTTTTTTGATTTTTTGATGGCACCGGTTTACGGGCCTATTGTATACTAGATCGAACAAAAATCTCTCTCACCCCCACATGTGGGGGTGGAGGAGGTTTTAGGAGATCTAGTATACTTGATGTATAATTTTCTAGGTGTTAATATATTTTTACATTTCATCCAAAAAAAAAAATGTTGTTGAGGATATGCAATTAATAATAAATTCGGCTGTTATCGTTACTGGTCCTGTAACTTAATAATTATCTAGAAAACTAAGTTATTGGGGGCACCATGTATAAGGGAGATTTGCGATTTTAGTCTCATAACATTCGGCTGTTATCGTTACTGGTCCTGTAACTTTAATTAATTGCATATTTGATTCTATAACTAATAAATTTTTGTAGTTTAAGGACTTTTTCACCGAAAAGTACCCTTTCGGACATAAAAATATGACCCGTCCAAAAGCAACCCACACATAAGGATGTCCGTGTGAACAAAATGTTTTGTGAAAAAAGATGACCCGTCCCGACGTTCCAACACGGACCGGACAATTAATTGGGAGAATGTAAGTTGGATTTTAATCCCAAAATGACAAATATTGAGTGCCCTGATTCAAGTATTTGCATAGGCTCTATGCATTTTTATAAAGTAACCTTCATCGCAGTTGTCAGGATTCGAATCTGAAACTTACTCTTTTTAACATCCTTTATCTATGAGTTGAGCTATGGCCTTGTAAAAAACTCCTACAAATTGATTTTTATAAATAGTACAAAGTATATTGTTAAGATATGGAGTTTCATCCTAAAAGGTAAACCTGATAAGAGGAATAACACAGATCTTAATATAGTCTTTAATTCTTTCAGAGATATCTGGTGTGCGACTTTAACACCCCTCCTCACGACCAGACACTTCGTCTGGATCGTGTCGTCATTCATTTTTTCATCGATTCATCATTGTCATTTTTTTATGATTTTGTCGTCATTTTTCATAAGGGGGCCACACCATGGATCAATTTGTCTCTAATACTATGTTAAGATCTAGGGTTTCATCCTAAAAGGTCAACCTGATAGGAGGAATAACCCAGATCTTAATATAGTCTTTAACTCTTTAAAAGATATTCAGTGTGGGGCTTTAACATATATTTTTAAAAACATACATATAAACCTAGAGAATTGTGTTTTTGTAAAAGTTGATAGGATCATTTTGAAATACTAATTATTATATTCTAATGTGTATGATTATAAAACATAGCGCGATGGCTAATGCGTGATGTATAGAAATGAGAGGTTGAAGATTAGATGCTAGGAAGCCAGGTAGGATTTGTCCATATGAAATTCACTAAAAGTTAGATCCCCTTCTTTTCCTGTTCATTAAAAAGTTTATGATATTTAAATTCATTTTTGTGCTTCAATATGAAAAGTTCCAAATGGCGCGAAGGAGGAGCTGGTATAAGTTTGTTATTTGTAGCTCCATCTGTTCATAAAATTTAGACAAAGTTCACTTATGTATGGAATAATAAAATAAAAGTTCTACAACTAAAATGTATGCCGAGTAGATAAAATTAACTTTAATCACTTATTTATTACTCTAAATAGAATTGATAATTTTTTGGGACGACTAATAAGGAAATTTAACAAAATTTTGTGAGACTGAGAGGTAGACATTTAGAATATACTATGAATAAATAATGAATTTACTAAATCATCTTTACTAAGAATGTTTTTATTTGGATTGAAATTTTCTTGTCTAGTCTAACCTGTTTAGATCTAGTCTGGATTGGTGTAGTCTAATGAGTGTCGATCTGTTCTATGTCTGGTCTGCTCTAAGCCTCTAATGCGACTCAGGACCAAAACCAATCCTATTAAAACATCCAAATATCTCATCCCTCTCAAAATGATTTACAAGCTTACTTTTTTTTTTATCAACATAGTTTGTTAATACCTCCATGGCTCCATCCAGTAATGGTTGTCTCATTTCAATTTGACAAGGTTATTAATAAAGTGATTGACAAATAAAAGTTGTGATTGAGTTTTGAGTAGAATGAAGTGAAATGATGTGGACCACAAATTTCTTATAAAAAATTAAAGGAAAACATGACATCCATTTTGAAACAACCAAAAAGGAAAGTAAGACAACCAAAATGAGACGAAGGGAGTGTTATTTTCTTATTTAAGATACCAATTTTTATTGTATGTTAATTCGGATTTATACTTTATACAACTTTCAATGTAGTGATCTATTAATATGTAAATTTTAATAATTTTAACTGATTTTACTACTTACAAGGAAGGTTAAACTTCATCATCCGGTAACATAAAAAAAAATCTCAAATTGTAAATTAATTGGGGAGGAAATATAAAATCATAGGGAATGTTCCACTGTATGGGATTAAAGTGATAATAATGATCCAACCTTCAATTCTCTCACGGAATGTCCACAGGCCACAGCAAAATTAATATGATGAGAATTCCCTAAACATGAATAAAAACGTTTTGAAATTCCAAAATAGGAGTATCATGTTTTTTTATTCCCTGAATAGAAGTAAATTTCTGTCAAGTTTGACATTACAAGACTTTAATATGGCATTTTTTTCCAAACTTGGCAGATTACTCCTATTCAAGAAATATAAAACATGATACTCCTATTTTGGAATTTCAAAACGTTTTTACTTCTATTTAGGACAATTTCTGTAATATGAATTATATGGAAACGTTTTAATCCAATTTAATTAGGGAAATTTCCCTGAATAAGAGTAAATGAGGTTTGAAATTCCAAAATAGGATTACATGTTTTTCTTTCCGAAATGGGAGTTGTTACTACCATGTATGAAAAATACTGCCATGATTGAAAAATACTGTCATTAATTACAATAAATAATGTCATGTTAAATGCACTGTACTGCGACTATTTGGCAGCCACGCCTACATTTAATGTACAATAAAAACATGATTGGTCCTATTTCGGAAATAAAAACATAGTTCTATTTTGGAATTCCAAACTTCAATTACTTCTATTTTGGAAAATCTCCCATTTAATTAGTGTACAATACCTAGTTTGACGTCATCAGGTAACATAAAAAATCTCAAATTGTACACTAATTTGGGAGGAGATATATAATCAGGGAATGTTACACTTTGTATCGGTTTAAATTGACAATAATAATTTCATCTTCAATAATAATCCATTAATCCATTAGAAAATTAATTTGAAAATTATAATAAAACTTTTTTATCCAATTTCATTAGTGTACAACACCTAGTTGTACGACATAATTATTGCACCTGGAAACCAATGATATGAAGAGTAAAGAAAGGAATAGGCGATGTTTGGTTGAAATTAAATGGCCTGTCTTTGTATCATCACAAGCTGCACACTTGTTTCTTTTGCCCCCCTTTACGCCTCTTAATGAACATATTTAAAGCAGGAGAAAAGGGAAAAGTGATGAGACAGAACAATTTGGTTGTAATATGGGAATAGTAAGTTGTCATTTGAGTATGTTATCTTTTGGAATAGGTTTAAATATTAGGACTGCTCAAGTGTCAAATTGTGAATAATGTCTTCACAAGACCACCACTACTATAGCTTTTAATCTAACCTTAACAAAGTTGAATTTAATTATGACATACTATGATAGTGCTTCACTTATTATTACTTCACTTACAATTCAATTTAAAGAATGAGAACATATTATTATTAATTAATGTAAGGTGAATTTTCAATATATCATACTCCCTCTATCACCCAATTATCTTTCAAGTGAGTTATCTTTCAAGGAAGTTAAGAAAGAGGAAACTGTGTGATGGAGAGTTATACATATGAGAGAGAAATATGTAAGAATTGCTATAAATCATAAATTATTTGTTAAGAATGGAAAAAGAAGATTATTATGGGACAGACAAATAAGTAAATGTGAAAAATATATAATTCAGGGACGAAGGAAATACTATGTATCATAGTATATCTATCTCATCAACTATTCATTTATCCCAGGCATTATTCTAGGCTTTTTTCTTGAATATTAAAAAATTGAAGCTAACTTCCAAAAAAGTGGTCATTTTTATAAAAGATAAAAAATGTGACTAAGGTCACATATATGGAAAAACATGATGTCACTACTTTTTATGTCATTGTCAGATTTTTATGTCCCTACTATATGTCACTATCAGATTTTTGTGTCAGTTTTGAGTGTCACTATAACCGCTGGAAAGTTTTCCGGCAACCTTTTCCGGCAAAACTATACACCACCAGCGCCCCCCCATCGGTCACATTTTTCATGTCACTGCGGTATTTTTGTGTCACTATGATTTGTCACTGCCGAATTTTAATTTCACTTACAGATGTCAATGTCGTCGGAAAACATGTCATTGTGACCGTTTACTGTGATCGCCGGAAAATTTTCCGACAACTTTTTCAATGAACAATGTCCTCACCAGTGAACATCTGCCACCGCGGCCCGCCCCTCATCGGCAGTGCCATCCCATCGTCACCCGATAGACCCCCTGCCCCTCCCAACCCCATGATGGCTGATGTAAGTTTTCTCGCACCTAAAAAATGTAGTAATATATGGTGCAAGTATGAGTGTCGTCTACACAGAGACGGAAAAGGGGAATAATGAATTAACTAAATTCAACGATTAAAAAAATGAAATAAATTCAATGTGCGAGTGTCACGCCCCGGACCTACCGGACACGTCAACAACCCGCCGTACAGTACGAATAGTCAACCGCAGTCCAACTCATCCATACTATACTAGGCGTCTTGAATACCATTCACACATAGAACATCCATAAACAACATAATGTAAAATAATCATTTAAAGCAGCGGAAATGTTCAATACAAAGTGCACGCCACACTTTGGCAACATGGGCATACAAGCCCTAAATACATATTAAAGAAAAATAATATCCATGAGCATGGTTTAAATCGTTTTCAAAACAGAAACAGAAGAAGCACGAACCACGTCTTCTTCTCTTGAATTCTCCGATACAACGGCGGTAGCGGCAAGCTTTAATCCCGACCTGAAACTGTGAGGTGGCCTCCCCCGTGAAGGGGAGGTCAGTACTTGGAAGCATTTGACAAGTACAATGACAACTATACTAAGTATAATCAAAGTTTCAATTTCCAAGACCCTCAACTTAGGATGTTACTATTTGAAATTAATTTATGTTCCTTCATGCTAGAGCTCGGCTCATAGTCATGTTAATTTGTGCTAGAGCTCGGCTCATAGTCACACCACATTTCGCTAGAGCTCGGCTCATAGTCATTCCTACATTTTTGTGCTAGAGCTCGGCTCATAGTCACACTACATTTTGCTAGAGCTCGGCTCATAGTCATTCCTACATTTTTGCTAGAGCTCGGCTCATAGTCATACTACCACGTGCTAGAGCTCGGCTCGTAGTCACGTCATCTAATCCCTAAACCACTTCTTAGTCTAGGCTCCATTCCTTTTGAGTAACCCTTGAGGTCTACTCCTAACATAACTTGACTTCGTAAAGTCCACCCTAATTATCCTTTAAGGTTACTTAGCTTCAATATTTTGGGATTAGCTCCCAAGCACTATTGAACTAACATCCCCGACTAGTCTTCAATACTAGTCGTCTAATCTTAATAAGCCAACGCCAATTTCATAATAATTCATACATTTCAATTTAATTTCACATTCAAGTATAACTTGATTCAATATCAAAATATCACTTTTATTCCCTTCATGAGGTAAAAGCATATTTATCACCATACAATTTTATAGCTTACACCCCAATTGGGTCATTATAATCACAACACATAATCATACACAATTTATTCTTAAATTTGTATATTATGCATTTTCTTTATGAACAATACTATATTCCATTTTAGGCATTCTTAATCATAAATAACTCATGCCAAACACATATAATTCATTTAGGCAATCTTATGAAATTAACCCAATAATTATAAACAATATAGTCGGTCATCCTCACCTCAATTGAGCTTTAAACTATCCCTTCTTGGTCCAATGGTCAAGACTTTGATCAAGGTGGATTTGGAACTGATTCCTTACTCAAATATGGGTGTTAAACAGCCTCTTCAAAGCGCTAGCTCAACCCCTAAACGTTGGTACGAAAACAGCCCCTAGAATGGGTGTTTTCCGGTGAACACGTTTCCTAGTTTTCCAAGATTTACTCTAGGTTAGTATCTAACCTTTACATCAATAAAATAACTTTACAAGGACATATTATACACTTGGATTAGTGTACAATAGTTCCACCAATCGTTCATATCATTTGGAAAATGAAAGGAAAGGTTTTGGGATTAACAACTCACTTTAGAAGAGTAGATCCGTTTCTGCGAGGTTGTGTTTTGCTCGGACGATTTGGAAGCCTTCCACTACTCCGATTGATGCAAAACAGACCTTCACGGATTCCTCGTCTTGAGAGCTTTCTTTTGGTATCTCACACGCCTTAATTGGATTGGTATAACTCGAGATATCCACCAAACAGTTTCAGCACTCTCAGAGCTCGAGTTTACGGACCACTGCTCACTCCAGATCGATTTTTGGATGATTACTCTCTCCTCTCGAACAGAGACCACTCAATTATGAAAATAGACTTCAAAGGCTATCCAAGGACACCTTATACACGTTGTTTGGTCGAGTATAACTCCCATGATGAGTGGAGACAAACAGCACACCATTTTGTGCGAAAAATGGAGATGGTGGCCCAACATTTGATTCCTATCAAGTCTTATACAGCCCCTCTCCATGGTGGTCGGCCAAGGTAAGTATTCTCACCCATTTTTATTTGTCTTGCAGGTACTAATATCATGTGGAGTGGTTCCCCATTGATCCCAATTATTTTGGGGTCCAAAATATCTATCAATACCTCCAAAAATGGGAAGATGGGTTCTATTATTTTATCTTTTGTCAAAGATGTCTTTTTGTACTCATCCTAATTTATTTAGAACAAGTCAACTTCCTACATCACATTATTGATCTCCAATATGTGTAGGCTCATCTCAATAATTTACTTGATGGACATTATAGAAGGAAAATCCTACTCCCATTATTTAGCTCAATAATGTCAAAGATGGGATCATAGGCATTTTTTATTCATCTCAAATCATCCTATCACTTATTTTGACATTTGTCATTCATATTATTGGGCTACAAGCCGTGGGGGTCGCCCCCGAGTGGGCCTACGACGCCATTCTCGAATACTTGCTATTCTAGCGGGTTGAGCCCAAAATAATATCTGGGCCGCCCGCCCTTCCTCAACTTGTCTTGAAACGTTATGTATTACTATTTAGATAATGTTAGGCTCTTTTATTTATTAATAAGGCCCGATACTCGTATACGAGTTCGGACAGTACAATAATCGATCATTAATTACGTAAAACATTAATCGTTTTACAATCGTTTGGGAATCAGAAATCCAATACAAAACTTTGAATTTTAAAATCAAATTTTCAAGGACGTTCGGGTGCGGTGTCACAAGTTCACCCCCCCTTAACAGGAATTTCGTCCCCGAAATTCACAACTCTACTCGAAAAGGAAAGCATACTGCTTTCTCATCAAAGCCTCTGTTTCCCATGTCTCCCCTTCGACCTGATCGCTCTTCCAAAGTACTTTAACCATTGGGACCTCTTTGCTCCTCAGTTTCTTCACTTTTCTATTGGTGACCTTGATTGGTTGCACAGCGTAGTTCCCCTCGATTACCTCAAACAAGTCGACAATGCCCCAGACAACTCTTCCGACTGAGGGCATCTGCTACAACGTTTGCCTTACCTAGATGGTACTCAATAACTAGATGGTAGTCCTTTATCAACTCCATCCACCCTCTCTGTCTCATGTATTAATTCTTTCTGAGTAAACACATACTTCAAACTCTTATGATCAGTATATATGTGACATGTCTCTCCGTAGAGATAATATCTCCCAAATTTTCAGTGCAAACACCACTGCTCCCAGCTCTAGATCATGGGTAGGGTAATTCACCTCATACTTCTTCAACTGTCGTGAAGCATAGGCATTTACCCTCCCCTCCTGCATCAACACCCATCCAAGTCCTTAGATGCTCGCGTCACTATAGACATCGTACCCCATACCCTGTTTGGGTAATGCAAGTACCGGTGCCTCAGTCAATCTCTCCTTTAGTTCAATGAACCCTTTCTCACATTTGTCATCACATACAAACTTAGCTCCTTTACGAGTGAGCTTTGTCAATGGTGATGCCAAAACGGAGAATTTCTCCACGAGCTCCCTGTAGTAGCCTGCTAACCCAAGGGAACCACGAATTTCCTTGACGTTCTTTGGTCTCTCCCATTCGGTAATGGCCCCTATCTTCTTATTATTAACAGCAATTCCCGATCCTGAAACCACATGCCCGAGAAAGCCAATTTCCTTTAGCCAAAATTCACATTTAGAAAATTTGGCATAAAGTTGCTTCTCCCGTAGTGTCTCAAGAACGAGTATCAAGTGCTCTTCATGCTCTTTCTTACTCTTTGAGTAAATCAAAATGTCATCTATGAACACAATCACGAATCGATCCAAGGATTTATGGAATACTCGGTTCATCAAGTCCATGAATGCTGTTGGGGCGTTTGTTAACCCAAACGACATAACAAGGAACTCAAAATGTCCATACCTTCTGCGGAAAGCACTCTTTGGTATGTCATCTTCCTTAATCTTCGATTGATGGTACCCCGACCTCAAGTCAATCTTTGAAAACACAGTTGCTCCTCGTAGTTGATCAAACAAGTCATCAATCCTAGGCAAAGGATTTCATTCTTGATTGTGACCTTGTTCAATTGACGATAGTCAATGAACATTCGAAGTGTCCTATCTTTCTCTTTCACAAAAGAATCGGTGCTCCCCACGGGGAGTGGCTTGGTCTAATGAACCCATTATCCAAAAGCTCTTGCAATTGGGTTTTCAACTCGTTAAGTTCAGCGGGTGCCATACGGTATGGCGGTATGGAGATTGGTTTGGTGCCGGGCTCGACCTCGATCACAAATTCAATCTCCCTATCAGGTGGAAGCCCCGGCAGGTCCTTTGGGAAGACATCCGGGTACTTACAAACCACCCTCACATCGTCGATGTTCGTTTCCTCCTTGGTCTTGTCAACCACTTATGCTAGATTGGCGTGACATCCCTTTCTCATCATACTTCTCGCTCTCACAGCGGATATGATACAGCTGTTTGATTTGCCTCGGTCCCCCTCGAAGCGTAGGGTATCCCCATCATTGCCTTCGAGTCCCAAGACCTTTGTGTCGCAATCTACCCTAGCATGATGCTTTTCTAGCCAATCCATCCCTAGGATTGCATCGAACTCCATCATACTCAGCGGTACGAAATCACACGTCAAGGTTTGGCCACCGATTTCCACCATACAAGACTGATAGTACTAGGTTCTTTCAACGTCTTCCCTTAGTGGTGTTGATACCACTAAAGTTTGCGTCATTGGTATTGATTGTATCTCTGAGCCCTCGGCGAACGCCTCACTTACGAATGAGCGTTGCGCTCCGGTATCGATAAGGATTTGCGCATGCTTCCCATTAATCTTTAGTGTTCCTACATTTATAAGTCATGTGGGATACCTTTTCTAATGTTTTTACACATCATTAGGAGGTTATTAGGTTCATACTACTGTTTGGAATCAATCGGGGGTCCAAACGTAGAAGAACGGAGCGAAAAAATGAGTTTTCGGTTGCCGGGGGTCCACGCACGGCGTGCCTGGGTGGCACGCACGGCCGTGCGTGCACAGGATTCTCCCTGCCAGCCACTGCCTCCCAGGCACGGTGCCAGGCACGGCGTGCCTGCGGCCGTGCCTGGCCAAATTTTCTTCGGGGCGCCACTGCCTTCCAGGCACGACGCCAGGCACGGCGTGCCTGCGGCCGTGCCTGGCCCAAATTTTTTTTTTTTTTTTCTTCTTTTCTTCGGGTGCCACTGCCTTCCAGGCACGATGCCAGGCACGGCGTGCCTGCGGGCGTGCCTGGCCAGCAGTGGCTGTTTCCAGCCCGATTAGGCCTAACTCACCCGGTTTGACCCCGGGGTGGCCCGTACTCAATCCCAACGACGTATATGATCAAAGTAAGCCTAGAAATGACCAGAATAAGTGTATTACCTGCGACGGAGTCGGGATTAGCCCGAGCATCGGCCTCGGTCATTGCGTACACTCTCGCTTGAGTCCTTCCTTGGTTTACGGAGGGTGCGTTGCTTGTACTTGCCCCGCCGTGGTTCGTGCTTGCATTGGGTGCCCCACCCCGGTTTCTACTCACCGTGGTTGCCACGTTTGGTCCTGATGACCGGTTCCCACCAAGTTGAGGGCAATTAGGCCTTATGTGCCCCGTATCTCCGCATTGGTAGCACCGTGGGGGATCACGACATTTGCCTTCGTGATTTCTCTTGCAATTCCTGCACTTAGGCTTCGTCGAGGCTTGTAACCCCGAGTTTTGCCCCCCCATGTTGGGATTCCCCCTTGATGGTGGTGCGGGTGCCCTGAAGGATCCTCCTCCCCCGTGATTCCCCTTCTTGTTTGAACCCTGGGGGCCATGGTTCTCCCATTTCCTTTTCTTTGCCTCCTCGGCGTTTCTTCGCTTTCTTTCCTCCCACTCTTTTTCTCCCTTCAAGCCTTGTTCAACCACTTGACTAAACGTCATATTAGGCAATTGTGTTGCCCTCTCGCGTATGTCAAGGTCCAAGGCATCCCAGAAATGGTTCACCATCCGGTTTTCATCACAAATGTACTCCGGTATGAACTCAGCAAGCTTTCTGAACTTGTGTTCAAGTTCCTTCACCGTGCATTCCCCTCCTTGGGTCAGATTCGTGTACTCCCTCCTCTTCAAGTTCACCTCGAAGTCGGAGTAGTATTGGCTAAAGAATTCTTGCCTGAAGTTCTCCCAAGTGACGGCCTCGCCGTACTTCCCTTTAACTCCGTTCCACCACGTGGACGCCATGCCTTCTAGCAATCTTGTTGCCACTCTCATCTTCATGTGGGGTGGCAGTTGCATGTCAAGGGCCGCTTCGTTGAATCTCTTGATCCATTCGGCCGCAACGGAGATGTCTCCCGTTCCGTCAAACGGTTTACAGCCCAACTCTCTTGCCTCCTTGAGGTACTTCGAGATCCGTATAATAGGAACCTCGGCACCTCGACCTCCTCGGAGTTCAATGCTCTCCCTAGGAGTCACGCGGCTGCCTCTCCTCGAAGCCCCTTCCAAAGCACGCCTTGCCTGGCGCCTTTGGCGATCTTGTTGGTATTGCCGGAGCAATTCCTCAATCCGTTCAAGAGCGCTATTATCATCACTCTCATCGCTAGCATCGTCGTGTTCCCCATCATATGGGGTCTCAACCGGCTCAGTTCCCGGTTGGTAAGTTGAATCCTCCTCGGACTCATAGTGCTCATCTATTGTTTCCACGTGACCGTCACTCACGGTCAGCGAGTGGCCTGCACGGCCCTGTCCCATAGACCCTCTTGATCCCCCCCGACTGCCACGTTGGGATCCTCCCAGTGCCTGGCCAGTCGGGTTCCGTCAAGTAACTCTACCGGTACGTTCCATTTCTGAAGGAAGTTTAGAATGAGCCATTAGACTCGTATCAAATGTCAAGTGACGGATAGGTACTTAAAGACATCTTTTGGCTTAAATCACCGCCATACCAATTGTTAAGGGTACCATCTTAACAATTAGAGACCTTGCAACTCAAGTACCAAAAGTTCCATAAGTACAAAACTTTATGCTCATGGTTTGCAAAATCATTTTCGAAAAGGAGTTTTGAAGCTTCATTATGAAGTTTACGGACTAAGGCTCTGATACCAATTAAATTGTCACGCCCCGGACCTACCGGACACGTCAACAACCCGCCGTACAGTACGAATAGTCAACCGCAGTCCAACTCATCCATACTATACTAGGCGTCTTGAATACCATTCACACATAGAACATCCATAAACAACATAATGTAAAATAATCATTTAAAGCAGCGGAAATGTTCAATACAAAGTGCACGCCACACTTTGGCAACATGGGCATACAAGCCCTAAATACATATTAAAGAAAAATAATATCCATGAGCATGGTTTAAATCGTTTTCAAAACAGAAACAGAAGAAGCACGAACCACGTCTTCTTCTCTTGAATTCTCCGATACAACGGCGGTAGCGGCAAGCTTTAATCCCGACCTGAAACTGTGAGGTGGCCTCCCCCGTGAAGGGGAGGTCAGTACTTGGAAGCATTTGACAAGTACAATGACAACTATACTAAGTATAATCAAAGTTTCAATTTCCAAGACCCTCAACTTAGGATGTTACTATTTGAAATTAATTTATGTTCCTTCATGCTAGAGCTCGGCTCATAGTCATGTTAATTTGTGCTAGAGCTCGGCTCATAGTCACACCACATTTCGCTAGAGCTCGGCTCATAGTCATTCCTACATTTTTGTGCTAGAGCTCGGCTCATAGTCACACTACATTTTGCTAGAGCTCGGCTCATAGTCATTCCTACATTTTTGCTAGAGCTCGGCTCATAGTCATACTACCACGTGCTAGAGCTCGGCTCGTAGTCACGTCATCTAATCCCTAAACCACTTCTTAGTCTAGGCTCCATTCCTTTTGAGTAACCCTTGAGGTCTACTCCTAACATAACTTGACTTCGTAAAGTCCACCCTAATTATCCTTTAAGGTTACTTAGCTTCAATATTTTGGGATTAGCTCCCAAGCACTATTGAACTAACATCCCCGACTAGTCTTCAATACTAGTCGTCTAATCTTAATAAGCCAACGCCAATTTCATAATAATTCATACATTTCAATTTAATTTCACATTCAAGTATAACTTGATTCAATATCAAAATATCACTTTTATTCCCTTCATGAGGTAAAAGCATATTTATCACCATACAATTTTATAGCTTACACCCCAATTGGGTCATTATAATCACAACACATAATCATACACAATTTATTCTTAAATTTGTATATTATGCATTTTCTTTATGAACAATACTATATTCCATTTTAGGCATTCTTAATCATAAATAACTCATGCCAAACACATATAATTCATTTAGGCAATCTTATGAAATTAACCCAATAATTATAAACAATATAGTCGGTCATCCTCACCTCAATTGAGCTTTAAACTATCCCTTCTTGGTCCAATGGTCAAGACTTTGATCAAGGTGGATTTGGAACTGATTCCTTACTCAAATATGGGTGTTAAACAGCCTCTTCAAAGCGCTAGCTCAACCCCTAAACGTTGGTACGAAAACAGCTCCTAGAATGGGTGTTTTCCGGTGAACACGTTTCCTAGTTTTCCAAGATTTACTCTAGGTTAGTATCTAACCTTTACATCAATAAAATAACTTTACAAGGACATATTATACACTTGGATTAGTGTACAATAGTTCCACCAATCGTTCATATCATTTGGAAAATGAAAGGAAAGGTTTTGGGATTAACAACTCACTTTAGAAGAGTAGATCCGTTTCTGCGAGGTTGTGTTTTGCTCGGACGATTTGGAAGCCTTCCACTACTCCGATTGATGCAAAACAGACCTTCACGGATTCCTCGTCTTGAGAGCTTTCTTTTGGTATCTCACACGCCTTAATTGGATTGGTATAACTCGAGATATCCACCAAACAGTTTCAGCACTCTCAGAGCTCGAGTTTACGGACCACTGCTCACTCCAGATCGATTTTTGGATGATTACTCTCTCCTCTCGAACAGAGACCACTCAATTATGAAAATAGACTTCAAAGGCTATCCAAGGACACCTTATACACGTTGTTTGGTCGAGTATAACTCCCATGATGAGTGGAGACAAACAGCACACCATTTTGTGCGAAAAATGGAGATGGTGGCCCAACATTTGATTCCTATCAAGTCTTATACAGCCCCTCTCCATGGTGGTCGGCCAAGGTAAGTATTCTCACCCATTTTTATTTGTCTTGCAGGTACTAATATCATGTGGAGTGGTTCCCCATTGATCCCAATTATTTTGGGGTCCAAAATATCTATCAATACCTCCAAAAATGGGAAGATGGGTTCTATTATTTTATCTTTTGTCAAAGATGTCTTTTTGTACTCATCCTAATTTATTTAGAACAAGTCAACTTCCTACATCACATTATTGATCTCCAATATGTGTAGGCTCATCTCAATAATTTACTTGATGGACATTATAGAAGGAAAATCCTACTCCCATTATTTAGCTCAATAATGTCAAAGATGGGATCATAGGCATTTTTTATTCATCTCAAATCATCCTATCACTTATTTTGACATTTGTCATTCATATTATTGGGCTACAAGCCGTGGGGGTCGCCCCCGAGTGGGCCTACGACGCCATTCTCGAATACTTGCTATTCTAGCGGGTTGAGCCCAAAATAATATCTGGGCCGCCCGCCCTTCCTCAACTTGTCTTGAAACGTTATGTATTACTATTTAGATAATGTTAGGCTCTTTTATTTATTAATAAGGCCCGATACTCGTATACGAGTTCGGACAGTACAATAATCGATCATTAATTACGTAAAACATTAATCGTTTTACAATCGTTTGGGAATCAGAAATCCAATACAAAACTTTGAATTTTAAAATCAAATTTTCAAGGACGTTCGGGTGCGGTGTCACAGCGAGTTTTTATTGTTGGAGAATTAAACTAACGCAAAAAAACATATAAAATTAAGGGGTTCTTTTTTATTAATGACGATAGGGAACATGGATTTATTCGAGGTAATCAGATTTCAGGGTGATAAAGCTTAATCACATGAAAATTATTTAATTGAGCAACGCTAATCAATACTAAGTTCTAACCAATCTCGCGGCGTAGAGTACAATAATTTAGGGAACCAGGCTGATCTATCATGCGACAGGTAGCTAGATTATTGCCAAAATGAGCGAGCGTACGGCCCCTAAATCGTTACTAATCTCTTAGTGTACGATTGAGTGTGTGTGAAAGTGTTCTAGAATAAATTAGATATCTCTTAATTTATTCCATGTGCAATCATAATAATCCTAGCGGCCGTTCTAGGTTACAAGAGATATCAATTAAATCATTCATACACAAATTAAATAAAGATTCTTGCAATTAATCCATCAAGAAATCAACCATCCATCATGACTAACCCCATCATCAATCTCAAATCCCTAATTAAAACTACTCACAATTCATAATTGAAGAATCAACAGAATTGGGAAAGAAAGAATTAATTGTCATTTATTAAAAAGTTGGAACTTACTAAGAATCCCCAAAATCTTGATGAACAAGGCTTGAAAAGCTCTCAAAAAATGTAGTAGGGTTTATCTCTCTAAGCTCCGCTATAAAAGAAAACGGACAAAACAGGGTTGAATTTATAGAAAAACGGCAAAAGTGGGCGAAAATCGATAGGGGTGGTCAAAAATACCGAACCGGCATGGTACCGAACCGAACCGATATGGTACTGAACCGAAAAACGAGGTTTGAAACGGAACTCAAATTTTTTGTCCCGAACCGGACCGTACCGGTTCTAAACAATGTCATGACCGGTTCTCATAAAATGAGAACCGCTACCGGACCGAAGTATTTATAATTATAAATTTACTTTTATACCATTAGTTTGACTAGTGCCTTCACACTTTCAGCGTCTTTGTTAGTAGGAAGCCTAGAAATGGATTGAAGTAAGGTTTAATCATTTAAATTAGTACTACTATATTTTATTTAAAATTTATTAATCATGTAATACTACCTCAGTTCCAAATTGATTTGCAAAACTAACTTTTCTTGGTTAAATAGTTTCATTTTATTCACTTAATTCGGATATCAAATTTTAATTATATTTAATTTCGAGTTTGCAACTTTGAAGAGATCTTAATGTAGTTTTTGAATATGTAAATTTTAATCGTTAAAAATTGAACTAATTATCAATAAAGAGGATTTAACTTTAACATTGGTTGACCAAAAAATATAGACTTTGCATATCAATTTCGGACGGAGAGAGTATTAAAATTGATAAGTTGTGTGGATTTTTGGAGGATGGCTAAACATTAGTTCCCCCTTAAACACTTGAAAAAAGTGGCATTGTATAGTATTGGTATGGCATGGTACCGTCCCGGCATCCCGTTTGAAATTGGAACCGTACCGAACGGGTTTAGGTCTAAGACCGAACCGAACCGTTTGAATAGTAACAGTACGGGTATGGGTTCACCCAAATATTGGACCGGACCGCGCCCACCTCTAAAAATCAACCCTCAGGGTCATCCGCGCGGTCATCCGCGGGGGGTGCGGGAATGTCCAGCAGGTGCACACGGATGTCTCTTGAACCATATTCTTGCTCTTTTCTTCTCCATTTGCTCCCGATCGATCATATTTTCAATCTTTGACCTTTCTAGCCTGGAATCATGTCGCTAAATCATCCCGTGGACCTCCGATGCCTCTTGCTATCTCTCGAACACATCCCAAATTTCCTCAATTTAAGCTCAGACGCCGATGTCGGGTCCGTATTCCTTCTTTTCTTCAACGAATGCAAACCAAACCCGGTAAACCGTGACTTGAGCTAATTAAACGCTTTTAAATACGAACTCAATACGAACTCACTTTGAGCTAATTAAAAGTGACAAAACTCAATCTCAACACGCATCAAATGCGTGTTGAAATACGAACTTATCACTGACCAAACCCAATGACCACCATCCGGCCAGTCTCGTGCCCGGCCTCGCCGGCGCCTCCGCCAGCGCCGCCCTCCCCTACCCCCTCTCCTGCCCTACCCACAATCCCAGCACCTTTCCCAGTGGCCATCCACCTCTTCAGCCCACCTTCCCAACCCTAGCTTCCTCCCCAACCGCCGGACCACCACTGCAACCCTAACCGCTTGCTTTTGTTGCGCTGCCGCTCCCCTGCCACCTTGCCGCGCTCCCCTGCCACCTTGCCGCCGCCTTCGCCAAACCAGATCTCGAATTAATGCCTCACCTCGCCTACCGCTAGCAACACCACCCCTCGTCTGCAACCCTACCCCCCACTCCTCGCCTCGTCCCTGTCCTCGGACCTTCGAAGCTCGAATTTGTCCAGTCCCGGCCTGTCAGAGACAAAAACTCGAAATCAGTCCGTGATATACCATCACCGACGACGAATCAACAACAATACCACCCCCTAGCACAACCTCCGATGATCGAATTCACCCCTTAGCGTTCAGAACTAGCTGTCTCCATTCCTGATGTTGTCACATAGAAATAAAAGAAAAGATGGGCGACATGGTGCAGAAAGATGGTGCATCAATGAAGACGACGATGTTGTTGGTGTGTAGTTGTTGTGTGCATCGAAGGCGACGGAGCAATGGATGAGAAGCTATCGAAGAGATAGATATGGCTTTGCTTCCCTGCGATGGTGCGTAGTTGATGCGAGTCGAATTGAGATTTAGAGCGTAAGAAGAGATTACTTTTCTGTGTAAATCGGTTTTAGTCAAATTTTTGTCGAATAAAAGATGAGAAATAATATTTGTGTCATTCTTTATTATACGTTCTTACATCATTTACGATGTTCTTTTAAAATTAACTAGTCTGGTCATAAATACTTGTTTTGTAAAATATTTGATGTGGTATTTAAATATGTAATTTTTTCCTAATGATGAAATAAATCGAAAATTATATAATATGGCTGAAATATATTTGGCTGCAATGAATATATAGGACCTTTTAATTTAGTTTTTTGAATTTTTCACCCTGCAATGCTTCATATTTTTATTTTAGGTATTTCTAACTGGCGAAAAATAACCACTTTGAAAAAACAGTAATGTTGCTCAAACAACTTGTTTCATAACTTTCACTTCAAATTTTTTTATTAAGTTTGTGAAGTTATTAGCGGAGTTAAGGCTATGCCAAACCAATCGTTCATTCCTTAAAACATCTACAAATAAAATTAAGAGCATGTTTAACAAACAATGAAATTGACGGAATCAGCTGATTCTGCTATTATTGATTAAGTTCTGGATGGGACGAGTTGATAGGGTGGGGTCCCGTTTGATAACACTGAAATTCGATGAATCTGCTGATATTTATGAATTCCAAGTATAGTGATCGAATTGACTACATCTGCTAAATTATGAAAAAAATAATATCTAAAATATATTTTTGATTAAATTAAGAAAAATACATAAAAATAGCTAAAATTATCTTCTACAGTGACTTCAACCAAGTGAGCCAGAAAACTAAATTCAACCTTACTTATTTTTGTTATTACACATCAATTCAGCGCATTGGGAGAAAAATTACGTGTTTGGTAAAAAAAATGATTGATAAGACTGATAAGCTAAAAAAGGAGTTAACAAATGGGCTCTTAATCTACTGAAATATGAAAAAGTTATATTTAAAATATATTTCTAAATTTTTTTTTAATAAAGTAAAGAAGAAATTATATGTAAATAGCTAAAATGACTATCTACTATACAATATGTTAGTCAATTCAGTTAGAAAAGAAACTTTCATTATATTATTATTACATATAATTCAATATGCGAAATCAAAAACTACATAGTTGGTGAAAAAATTTGATGGATAGGATTGACTAATAATTGAAAATCGAGAATACCAAACAGTGTATAAGTATTTCCAAACACGAAAATAAATGGCGTGTAAGAGTAAGATTATAATTAGATTAGTAATTTTTTTATAGTGCATGATAATATATATATGGATGGGAAATACAAAAATCGCAATCAACTAAAGAAAGTACTAGTTCTCAAAGAAAAAAGAAAAAAAACTAAAGGACCAAAACATATTTAACCGTCTCATTAAATT